TGATGGGGGGCGCTCTTATTGTTGCTAACTTTGTGGGTTCTCAAAACGCCAGTCTTGAGGTGGAGTTTTCGGCGCTGGCAGAACGCCCACATGGGAAAGGCCTTCACTTCAGTCAGGGGCCCCTGTAAAGCGGATTTATGTTTGGGCAAATGCGCTGGTGATCCGTTGAAGTTTATTTTTGCCTCCCTTTGTTTAACTTTCACATGGTTAAAGGATCGGGCGAACGTTTAGATGGGCAGCTCGGGCAATGTGGATGCTTACATATAGCTTGCAAACGTGAGTTCTTGTATCATTTCCAGGGGGTGGGCAGCGCGCCATGTAAACGACTCTCTAAGTTACCCCGAACAACACTGTGCACAGGGTAGAGATCTTGATTCAGTCAAAGATCCAGGCTCGCACTTGGTCCAGCGCAGGAAGCCGACGCGCGAGATCGCTCGGCGGATCCAGGCGGCGTGCGCGTCTTTTCACTCTATGGGTGCCGTCTGGGCCACGTCGCTTCCGTTCTGGTGTTAAGAGATGCTTGCTGCGCTGTTTTGTCTTAAGGGCGCTCGCGAGCGGGCGCGCGGGTTTCGTCGCTGCTGCAGAAGGCAGTTAATGCGGCGCCGCAGAGTCGCCTCGGGAGGAGTAGCTGTGGACTGGGACGGGGGCCATCCCGTCGGACTGGTTGGGGGACATAGCTCGGGCGAGGCACCGGGCAAACGCCCGCGCTGGGTCGTCGAGGGCGGGCCCCCGCGCAATTGCGAGCGCGCCGGCGGGGAAGCTCCGTTGCGACGCCTTCGTGGGCCCCGCAAACTGCGAAGCATTGCGCGCGCGCCCGCGCCCAGTGACCTCTGCGCCCGCCGTCGCCAGATTTTCCCCGGCCAGGAAAGGGCCGCCAGCCGTCTTCTGAGGACCTTGAGAAGAGGGCGCCGTGAGACGACGGGGCCCGCGACGCCCCGCCCACGAGTGGAGCTCCAGGGACTGTTCTGCCCCTGCCGTGCGCGCTCGCGCCCGACAGGGTGCGCTTTCTGCAGCCATCTGGTCGGGCGCTCGCCGCGGCCGCTCGACCCCGTCGCCCCGCGGGAGTTGGGGCCGCATGCCCGCCGGCCGCGCGGGCGCGCCAGGGTGGCCCAGCTCGGCGAAGACGAGCGCCGCCGAGGGCCATGCCGACCAAGACAGGGACAAGACGCGGAAGGATAAGGGCAGCGCCAAGGCCAAGGACAAGGGGGAGGGCCTGCTCGTCAACAGCGCGGCGGGCCTCGCGCTCAGCAGCGCCCGCGAGAGCGCGGGCGTCGTGGCGGTGGCCCACGCCCGTTTCAGCATTCTCGCGGCCTCGAGCGCAGCGGCGGCCATGGTCGCGGGCGGCAAGGCACGCGGCGGGGTGTCCAAGCAGATGAGGGCCGCGGCGGAAGGGGGGCAGCGCGGTGGATTGGAAGTCTCGAGGCCCGCCATCCCCCCGCGTCTCCATGGCGCCGCGCGCGCGTGGTCGACGCGGGGGCGAAGATGGAGGACGCGTCGCCCTGCGACCAGGGGCATCATGACATATCGGACCGGATGCGGCCCATAGTCAACGATCGCCCGAAGTCGATTTCTCTCGAGGATCTCGGAGCACTGGCGACCTTCTGTCGGGTGGAGATGCAGAAGGCGCAGGACGGAGAGGATCAGCGCGCCACCATCCTTCTCGAGTTCGACAGCAGCCACCCGCTGACCAGTGCGATAGCCCCATCGATTCTCAAGTCGACCGAGATCGAGGGAGGCAAGATGCTGGTCGGCGCGGCCCCTCGGGGGCCCTTGGAACGCGAGATCTCGCGGATTCTCGACGGCGACAGATAGGGGCATTGAAAGGTAGTGGCAGGCTCGCGGGGCTGTTCGCCAGTGGTCGCTTCGACCCAAGTGTTATTGACAGAGTGCCCAGCAACCACGTGCAGACAAATGCCAACCCTGCTCTGCCTGCGCAGCTTGCGGCGGCATTGCCATCGCGCATGCGCCACTGGAGCCTGGGCCAGGGTAGGAGGGCGAAGGGGCGGGGTGGGCGGGGCGACGTGGGCGGCGTGGGGGGCGGGAAGGGAGTTTAATGTTCAGAAGGCCTGCGCCGAAAATGCTGGCCCCTTTTTATGGAGTCATCTGACTGCAAGGCCAGTGCCTCCGTGCGCGGTGAGCAACTAGCCTCATCTCTCGGTGCGTTGGTCGCGTGGCTAACCTTCCCAGGCGGGAGATGTGCAATTTGTTCTAAGGCGGTGGGTTCCATTGGTTTTGAGCCTTGGGTCTTGAGGAGGAGGAGGGGGAGGAGGAGGAGGAGGAGGAGGAGGAGGAGGAGGACCAGTGTAAACCCAAGAATCATCAACGATGTTGAAGTAAACCCTCCCGCCAATCCCACTCTTTATAGACCCTCACAAAGGTTCATTTCCATTGATGGAATTGCCTCGTCGGAAGACATTCGTTTGAAGACCCTGAAGCATGCCGAAACATTGTTCTCGGGATTCCAACGCCACGGATCAACCTGACTGTTGCGTCTTGACGATCCTGAGTCGTGCCAGAACGCCATTCCTAGGACTTCGACACAGAGAACCAACATAATTTTTACACCCGCATAATCGTGAATCCCTCCAACATACAATTTCTGGTGCGTTGATCATGGGAGCCCGTGAAAATCTTGGAATTTGTTATGACGAATGTGCGCCGCGCTAAGACGAGAGCCACATTTTGAGAAGGAGTCGCCTTCAATCCGTGAAGCTCCTGCAATTTTTGTTAGACGAATGTGCGCCGCGCTAAGGCGAGAGCCACGACCGGCCTTCCATCCGTGAAACTCCTACAATTTGTTGAAACGAGCGTGCGCCACGCTAGGGCGAGAGCCACATTTTGAAGACGACCCGCTTTCAATGTGTGAAACTGTTGCAATTCGTTTCAAGGAATGTGCGCTGCGCGAAGGCGAGAGCCACATGTTGAAAACCACCCGTTTTCAATCCGTTAAGCTCTTGCAGTTTTTGTTAGACGAATGTGCGCCGCGCCAAAGCGAGAACCACATTTTGAAAACGACCGGCTTTCAATCCGTGAAGCTTTTGCAATTCGTTTCAAGGAATGCGCGCTGTGTGAAGGCGAGAGCCACATTTTGAAAACCACCCGTTTTCAATCCGTGAAGTTTGTGCAATTTGTTTAACGAATGTGCGACGCGCTAAGGCGAGTGCCACATGTTGAAAACGACACGCCTTCAATCCGTGAAAACTCTTGCAGGTGTTTAACGAATGCGCGCTGTGCGAAGGCGAGAGCCCCATTTTGAAAACGACCCGCCTTCCATCTGTGAAACTGCTGCCACTTTTAAAGCTTCATGGTGAGGAAATATCAGGCGAAACGCCCGGGCCCCTCTAATTTCTAGTCCCGGGGTGCGACAGGGGGAAATTTCCTGCAAGGAAGAGGAAAGGAATGGAGAAGGAGGATGGGGAGGAGGAAGAGGAGGAAGAGGAGGAGGAGGAGGAGGAGGAGGAGGAGGAGGGGGAGGAGGCGGAGAGGAGGAGGAGGAGGAGGAGGGGAGGAGGAGGAGGAGAGGAGGTGGAGGATGAGGAAAACAAAACAAAAGGAGGAGGAGGAGGAGGAGGCGGAGGAGGACGGGAAAAAGGAGGAGGAGGAGAGGAGGAGGAGGAGAGGAGGAGGGAGGAGGAGAGAGGTGGGAGAGAGGAGGTGGAGGGGCGGGGGAGGAGGAGGAGGAGGAGGAGGAGGAGGAGGAGGAGGAGGAGGAGAGATGAGGAGGAGGAGGAGGAGGAGGAGGAGGAGGACGAGGACGACGAGGAGGAGGAGGAGGAGGAGGCGGAGGAGGTGGAAAAGGAGGAGGAGGAGGAGCGCATATCATGCCGAGCAGCGTTGGGAGGCAGAAGCGGCACATCCACACTGGCCGCTTCTGGCGTCGCCACCCTCTGATGAACCCCACGACGCTGGCGCCTAACACGCTCCCGAGCTCCGAAGGCCTCTTCCGCACGAGCGGCATCAAGGGCACTCTTCGGGTGACTCCGCATGCGCATAACGAGCGCAACATGCTCGGCCTTGTACACAGCACGGCGTGCAAGCAGTGAAGCTGTCTACTATGGTGTTGGCGAGGATTTAAGAGGCAGGGTGCTTGCTCATTGAGCATATGCCCAGCCTCAAGACCAGAGTGCAGGAACAAAGTGGTGCAGATCAGATCGTATATACTTCTGAACTCGACCCTTATTCGCCACCACAAATCCGCGTCGCTGCCTGCGGGCTTCAGCTATCTCTGATTTTTCCTTGCAGCAGAATGCGTCCGTGACGCGTGGAAGATGAGGGGGGATCGGCGCTTCTGTTTGGCCGGCAGCCCCCGTGCCCCTCGTCAGATGTCATCGCTACCAGTTCCCGCCACCTCTATCCGAATTCCCCGCTGTCCTCCGCCCTCCCCCTCGTCTCCCCCCGCCTCCGCCAGCGATGACGGCCATCCCCATGAACAGACACCTTCGGAGCTCCGCGCGGATGTCTTGGACCGTCGCCGGACCCTCCGGGCCCTGCGCGCGAGGCGCGCCGTGGGCGGCGCCGCCAGGGAGCCCCAGCGCCGTCCCGTCAAGTCAGCGCGCACCTCCGTCAGGCGACCTTACCTTTGCGCAGCTCTCTGTCCGTCCACATCGGTGCCCTAACCTTTATCCTGGCATCGCTCGGACGTGTGCATTTCTTTTCTCGGCGAGGACCTTCGAGGAGCATCCTCGACCATCTGGCGAAAAAAACACGCACGAAACCGAAAAAGCACAGGGAATGGACTTCCGAGCGATGGCCAGTTATCACCATCCTTACCATAAGCTTCCTCCTCATCCTGCTCACAGCCGGGGCGCATTGGCAGGTCGACCCTGCAAAACTAAGGGTACTCCTTGTGTCCTGTCCATCCCTTCTCATGTCCTCTGCGTGTCCGGACTAAGCGCACCCTCGTTGGAGGCCATGTTACCGTCGGAAGAGTCTCGTGTCACATCGCGTGTCCTCTCGTATGCGCCCCGACTGTATGTTGGTCTGTTTCTGTATCCCCTCAGCCCTTTGGCTCGAGGTTTCTCCAGTCTGCCTCGGGCCAGCCATGCCATGGGTGGCCCGTTGGATTTCAACTGCCTGGAGTTTTTCAAGGAGGAGATCTGGAACGATGCTGCCGCTGTCAGGATCGGCGCAACCAGTCAGGTGTATTTGATAGCTTCCGCCTTGGGGCCCGAAAAGTCGACAACCGAGTTAGTCCCGCTTTTGGCCCAGGTGATCAAAGAAGAGCCTCTGTGCAATGACGAAGAGTTCATGTACAGCATGGCCAAGCAGTTTCTGGTGCTCTCGGAATACATCGACGGCCACGACGAGCTGCTCATCGGTCCCCTCGAGCACCTCGCGGCCCAGGACGAGACGCTCGTCAGGGAGCAGGCCATCCAGTCCCTCTGCGAGATCGTCACGAAGCGACCCACTCTCGTGCCGGATCACCTGCTCCCCGCGCTCCATCTCGGAGGGCGCCAGCTCTAGTCGGCGGCGAGCTCAGGGGGGCAGCGAGAGGGCGCGGGCCTTCTCAGAAGGCTCGGCAGGAAGGCCCCGGGCCTCCTGAGAGCCCTCCCCGAGCCTTCCCCGAAGACCCTACCTCTCTCACGAGGCCGACGCCCCCTCCTCGTCCCTCCTCCTCCTCCTCCTCCTCCTCCTCCTCCTCCTCCTCCTCCTCCTCCTCCTCCTCCTCCTCCTCCTCCTCCTCCTCCTCCTCCTCCTCCTCCTCCTCCTCTCCCCCCCCCTCACTCGCCGCCGATGCACACCTGCACCGGTCCGGGCCAGGCCCGTCTTGAGCCCAGGAGCGGTGCACATCGGGCGGAGCTCGGACGAGTCTAGATCCGTTCCAGAGCGTTCCGGGATGCTCTCGGAGCGTTCCGGCACGCTCTGAGAAGGCCGCGGCACCCGAGACGTCCTCCAGAGCCGCTTGATGTCAGAGATTCTCGATTCACCCTCCCCGGATGTTAGCCTGGTCCTGGCTTCGTCTTGAGCGGTGCACGCGCCCACCTGGCCTGGCGAGGGAGGCGCGGATGCACACCACATCTGGGCTCAGGAAGCTGGTCTGGCCAGGCTCGGTGCAGGCGTGCTCCCAGACGCCCGCCGCGCCGACTGCTGTTCGAGACACGGGCCCCCGACCTCTCTCAGGCAGTGGCGGGGCGTCCTGGCCTGCTCACAGGCCCGCCCAGAAGATGTGCGAATCACCTCTTGTGGTCTGCACGACGTGTTCTCAGAATCTTTCTGGCTCGGCCTGCCCTGTGTTTAGCCCCTCGGCTTCACGTTCTGAGCCAGGTTCTCCGAACATTTCGCGGCAGGCCTATATAGGAATGCCGGGGCGGCCGGTCCTTGCTCAACGCTCGACCATTTCCCGGGGGCCGGTTTTTCACCTCGAGTCGTTTTTTCGGGGCTCAAGAGACGGGGGTCAATGCAAACGGGTGTCAGCCAGAGCGCCCGATCTTGCAGGATCCTGCAGGGCCAGGGTCGCATCGACCCGGGAGGGGGGGCAGGATCCTGCAGGATCTTGCCAGACCCCTCGCGTTGACCCGGGCCTGGGTGCAGGACCTTGCAGGATCTCGCAGGATAATGCAAGGCCTGACTGACCCGGGTCTGGATTGACCCGGGTCAGCAGGTCTCCGATCTCGTCGGCGGGGGTGGGGGGGAAGGGCGGACCGGGAGGGAGGGAGGGGGGCGGGAGGGAGAGAGGGAGGAGGGGGAGGGAGGGAGGGAGGAGGGGGGGGGGAGGGAGGGAGGGAGGGGGAGGGGGGCGGGGAGGGAGGGAGAGAGGGAGGGGAGGCAGGGGCCGCCAGCGGCCGCGGGAGGCGCGGATGGGGGAGTCTGGGCGGCTGGCGCCCTCGGGCCGTCGGCTGGCCACCGCGACCGACTTCTTCACGGCGCGCATCTCCGCGTGCGCGCTGCTGCCGACCGCCTACCGCTTCGCCTCGGAGGGGCAGAAGGCTCGGGTCGGGCGTGTGCCTCTGCAGGAGGAGCACTCGAGAGCAGTCCAACAAAAAATAGTCCGGGGACGACGTGTGGAGCATGCTGGGGCATTGTTGGCTTTGGTTGGCATTGGTTATGGTGCCTCTGCAGGAGGAGTGTTCACGTCCGAGGCGGGAGTTCATACATGACCACCGCCTGGAGGACCAATTCTCGGGGACCTCGGCAGGCGGTGGATATATGGATATACTCGGGCCCCCAGGGGCCAAGGTATATCCATAGCCACCGCCCGCTGGGGCACCAGGGCGTCGCTTCTCAGGCGGTGGATATGGATAAGTCCCCGCCTCGCATCAAGAGCAGTCCAAAAAATAGTCCAGGGACGATGTGCTGGAGCTCTTGTCATTCGCATCGTCTGTTTAAGCCCGAGTCCGGGGCCACTGCAGGCGTTTTTGCATTCGTCACCGCATGGTGCACTGGCAGAGCGAGCGAACCTTCAGGCGATTTCTTCAGGAAAACAATTTTTTGGTTGTGGTTGGACTCTTTGTTAATCCTCGTCCAGAAGCTTCCTGCAGGAGGACACGCCCGACCTAACCGAAGGCCGAGCTCCAGGAGGTGTACAGCAGGCTGTGCGCGGACGACGTGCCCATGGTGAGGCGCGCCGCGGCCCACCGGATGCACGACCTCGTCTCGGTGTGCAGCAAGGAGGACGTCCTCGGCGGGCTGATCGGCCTGTACAGGCAGCACTCCCGGGAGGACACGCAGGACTTGATCCGCGTCTCGAGCGTCCACACCACCCTGGTGATCTCCAAGATGCTGAGCGAGGAGGAGACCGGACGGGGCGAGGACGAGGCAAGAAATCCGTCCCAGGGCGTTCCGGAATGCTCTCGGGGCGTTGCGGAAGGCTCTGAGAAGGGCGGGGCGCCCGAGACGTCCTCCAGAGCCGCCAGATTTCAGAGATCCCCGAGTCATCCTCACCCGATGTTGTCCTCGTCCTGGCTTCGGAGGAGGAGGAGGAGGAGGAGGAGGAGGAGGAGGGGGAGGATTCCCGGTTTCGCCTCGCCCGATGTTGTCCTCGCCTTGGCGTCGTCTCAGGAGAACAGGCAGCACACCATCTCGGTCGTCAGAGACGCCGCCGAGGACCGCTCCTGGCGCGTGAGGCTGACGGCGGCGAAGAACTTCGACGGCCTGTGCGCCGGCTTCGGCCCGCAGATCACGTCCACGCACCTCCTGCCCCTGCTCGTCCAGCTCATGAAGGCATCGACCAGCCACGCGCAGAGGGGTGTGGGGGGGGGGAGAGGGGAGGGCTCCGTAGAAGCACCCCTGCTTCTTAGAAGGCGCGGCCCTTATCTGCAGATGTAGGACCGGCGCCTTCTAAGAAGCAACCTCCTTCTAAGAAGCCCTCCCCCCTCCCTCCACCTCCTTGTGCGCGCCGCCGACCCGAGTCGGGGATCGACTACAGAACCGATGCACCCCAAAATGGATTGCTCGCCGAACCTGCCACGGCAAAAGTGCATCGCATACCCGTCGTAGACCTAGGAAGCACCCCACGTCTGTTTCGCAAGGCTCGGCGGACAGAAAGAAGCCATGGTTACCAGCCTGGAACATATCCCTATCCCTATGCTGGGCACCTCCTCATCACGATGCCAATCTTGGGGACTCCCTTCTTTTCTGAGGGCGAATCCCGAAGCTTGTCATCGCCTCTTGGCGTGCCAATCTTGGGCATAGGGATACGTTCGAGGCCGGCAACGTGGGGCAAGGCCAGCTCTGCAGCCGACCCCCCCTGCCCGCAGGACAGCGAGCAGGAGGAGGAGGAGGAGGAGGAGGAGTAGGAGAAGGAGTAGGAGTAGGAGGAGGAGGAGGAGGAGGAGGAGGAGGAGGAGGAGGAGGAGGAGGAGGAGGATGCAGTCGACCCCCCCTGCCCGCAGGACAGCGAGCAGCAGGTGCGCACGGAGGCCGTGCAGGTGGTCGAGCCTCTCCTCGCCCTGCCGCGCGCCCTCGCCCCCGAGCAGCTGCAGCAGCGCGTGCTCCCGCAGCTCCTGTCCATGGGCGCGGACCCCGCGCTCCCCGTGCGCGCGGCCCTCGCCAGGGCCCTCGGCCCGCTGGCAGAGGCCCTCGGCCTCCTCCTCCTCCTCCTCCCCTCCCCTCCTCCTCATTCCCCTCCTCTTCCGCTCCTCCTCCTCCTCCTCCTCCTCCTCCCCTCCTCCTCCTCCCCCTCCTCCCCTCCTCTCACCCTCCGCCTCCTCCTCCTCCTCCTCCTCCTCCTCCTCCTCCTCCTCCCCCTCCTCCTCCTCCTCCCTTGGCCCGCTGGCCGAGGCCCTCGGGCGCGACGGCACGGAGCGCCATCTCCTCGGCCTCGTCTCCCAGCTGGCGGGCGACGAGTTCTACGACGTGCGCATCGGCGCCGTCTCGAGCGTGGGCCCCCTCTGCGAGCTCCTGGGCGACGGCGCCCCCGCGCGCTCGCTGCTCGGCGCCGTGCAGGGCTTCGCCCTGGACGACCGCTGGCGCATCCGCCAGAAGGCCGTGGAGCAGGTGCCGGGCCTCGCGCGGCTCTTCGGCGTGTCGGTGTTCGAGTCCACGCTCGAGGCGATGTGCCTGTCCAGCCTGCGCGACCCCGTGCACTCGGTGCGGGAGGTCGCGAGCCGGACCCTGCGGGAGATCACCAGCACGTTCGGGCCCAGGTGGACCGTGGAGCGCCTGCTGCCCAAGCTCGCGGACCAGTACTCGCAGGGCGCAGGCTACGCGAACCGGGTCACCTCGCTGCATGCGCTCAAGCAGCTGTCCGGCGCCATGTCCCCGGAGCAGGTCATGCAGTTCGTGGTCCCGGTGCTCGTCAAGGCCACCAAGGACGGAGTCCCGAACGTCCGGATCTGTGCCTGCCTGACTATCGTTAAGTCGGGCCTGTCTCCCTACAGGAGGAGTAGTAAGAACATCAGACTTTAGCCTGGGAGCGAGTTTTCGATGATTGTTGGTTATGTTTGAGCATTGTTTGACTGTGTCTCGTTTTTCCTCCAGCATCCCCCTGTAGGGGGACATGCCCGACTTAAGACTATCATGTGGCTGGCCGAGAACTGCGACCTAGGATCGGCGGCCATCAGCACGGTCATCAGACCTACGCTGGTGGAGCTCAAGCACGACTCCGACATCGACGTGCAGTACTATTCGCAGCGGGCCATTGCAGCCTGCGGCCGCGAACGTGGTAGCAAATAGTCATCGAACTATAATTCGCACGGCATGTGCCGTGCCAAAATAATCTTGCGAAGCGTTGTTGCATATTCGAGTTGATGATATGCGCCTTGTTGTACATCGGGAGGAAAACTCGTGGTGCACCGCCTCCCTATATGTTTGAGTCTAGCTTGCCCCAGAAAGGGCCCTGGAAGGGGTAGAGGACCGGCGCCAGCTGAATATAGGAGAGAGCGTGATCCACCGCCGCTCTACTGTGGAAAATTCCCCCCCCTCTTCCTCCGGAACCCGGGGGTCCCCCCCCTGCACCCCCTCCGAAAATCCCCCCCCCGGCTGGACCCCCCACCGCCGTCCCTCTTCCCCCGGAAAAACCCCCCCCTCCCCTAGCCGCCCCCCCCTCCCGGAAAACCGGGGGAGGTCACTACCGGTTCGAACCCCCCCCCCCCTTTCCTCCGGAAAACCGGGGGGGGGTCACTACCGGTTCGAGCCCCCCCCCCCCTCTGGAAAACCGGGGGGGGGGTCACTACCGGTTCGAACCCCCCCCCCTCGAAAACCGGAGGGGGTCTCTACCGGTTCGACCCCCCCCACTCGAAAACCGAGGGGGGTCACTACCGGTTCGAACCCCTCCCCCCCCCACGTTCACCGCCAGCAAACGACTCCTGGTCCCTACCACCGTCCGCACCACATCCCCCACTGCTGTCCCCAGCACCACTGTTCTCACCACCACTGTCCCCACTGGTTCCACCACAGTCCCTGCTGTCCCCACCAGTGCCCCCACCACTGTCGCACTGTCCCCACTGTCCCCACCACTGTTCCCACCACGGTTCCACTCTCCCCCACTTTCTCCACGGCCCCAAGCACTGCCCGACTGTCCCCACTGTCCCCACTGTCTCACTGTCTCCTCCGCTGTCCCACTGAGCTGTCCCACTGTTCCCACCACTGTCCCCACCGCTGTCCCCACTGTAATTACCTCTGTTCCATTGTCCCATCGCCGTCCTCGCCACCGCCCTCACCACTGTCCCACCACCACTGTATCCTCCACTGTCCCACTGTTTCCACCACATTCCCACTGTCCCCACACCACTGTCCCCACCACCACCGTCACCACCGCTGTCCCCACTGTTCCCACCATTGTCCCCCTCCTCCTCCTCCTCCTCCTCCTCCTCCTCCTCCTCCTCCTCCTCCTCCTCCTCTGCACTCCTCCTCCTCCTCCTCTTTCCTCCTCCCCCTTCCTTCCCTCCTCCCTCCTCCTCCTCCTCTCCTCCTCCTCCTCCTCCTCCTCCTCCTCCTCCTCCTCTTCCCGCGCGCACTCGACGGAGGTGGACCGCGGTGCCGACCACACCGTCCGGGCCTTCGCAGCGGGTGCTTCGCGGAGGCCTTCCTGGTCGCCGTCGTCGTCGCTCGCGCGCGCGCCAGGGCCCGCGCGGAGGAGGGGAAGAGCGAGGACGCGGAGGAGGAGCGAGGATGAGAGAGAGAGAGAGAGACAGAGAGAGGAGAGAGAAGAGAGAATGAGATACGACGATGATGGATGAACGGATGACGATGGTGACGACGACGATGATGATGTTGACGATGATGATGATGATGATGATGATGATGATGATGATGATGATGATGATGATGATGATGATGATGATGATGATGATGATGCTGATGATGAGGGTGGTGATGATGAGATGATGAGGATTATGAAGATGCTGCTGAGGTTGATGATGCGGATGATGCTGATGATGATAGTGATGATGATGATGATGATGATGATGATGATGATGATGATGATGATGATGAGGAGGAGGAGGAGGAGGAGGAGGAGGAGGATGAGGAGGATGATGATGATGATGATGATGATGATAATGGTGGTGGTGATGATGATGATGACGATAATGATGATGCTGTATGCTGATGCTGTTGCTGCGGTTGCGGTTGCTGATGATGATGAGGACGAGGATGACGACGGCGATGGCGATAATGTTGATGATGGTGGCGATGATGGCGATGATGATGAAGATGATGGTGATGGTGATGGTGATGGTGATGATGAAGATGAAGAAATTGATGATGATGATGAATATGCTGCTGTTGATGATTATTCTAATGATAATAATGATTGTAATGCTGATGCTGCTGCTGATGCTGATGCTTGCGATGCTGATGATCTCGATGACGATGACGAGTATGACGATGACGACGATGATGACGATGATGATGATGCTGATGATGCTACTATACGACTGATGCTAATGATACTGATTGTGACGATGATGACGACAATAATAGTGGCGATTATGCTAATGGTGAGGAGGATGCTGATGATGGCGATGCTGCTGATGATGATGATGATGCTGATGATGATGATGATGATGATGATGATGATGAGTTTGACGATGCTGATGATGATGCTGACGATTATGCTGATAATGATGATGATACTGATGCTGCTGCTGATGACGATGATGCTGATGATGACGACGACGATGCTGATAGTGCTGATGATGATGCTGTTGACGATGATGATGCTGATGTTGCTGATGATGGTGGCGATGGTGATGGTGATGGTGTTTGTTGTGATGATGATGGTGGTGATGGTGATGTTGATGGTGATATCAATGAGTATGACGATTACGATGACGGTACTAGTGATATTGATGATGGTTTTGGTGATGGTGACGCACCTCACTGACTATTTGGTTAAGGATGAACATGATGGTGATGATGACGAGGAGGAGGGGGAGGAGGAGGAGGAGGAGGAGGAGAAGGAGGAGGGGAGGAGGGGAGGAGGAGGAGGGGGAGGGGAGAGGAGGAGGAGGAGGAGGAGAAGGAGGAGGAGGGCGGAGGAGGAGGAGGAGGAGGAGGAGGAGGAGGAGGAGGAGGAGGAGAGAGGCGGAAGGAGGAGAGGAGGAGCGGAGGAGGCGGGGAGGAGGAGGAGGAGGAGGAGAAGGAGGAGGAGGCGGAGGAGGAGGAGGGAGGAGGAGGAGGGAGGAGGAGGAGGAGGAGGAGGAGGAGGAGGGGGAATGGGAGGAAGGAGGGGGAAGGGGGAGGGACGGGGGAGGGGGCGGAGGGGGCGCCAGGCCTGGCAGCATCCGAAAACAGCGGGGGGCTGGAGAGGGGGCGCCAGGCCTTGCAGCATCCGAGAACAGCGCCGAGCCGCACTTGCGGCAGGTGAAACCAGGCACAAGCAGCAGCACGGCCTGCAGCGTCTGGGCCGACGTCGACCGGGCGCGGCACCGCCAGGGAGCGACGGCCGCCGCGTCTGCATCGGCACGCTCCCCCCCCTGCACGGTTGCACCAGCCAGCGGGGTCGGCAGGGCCCCTGGGCGAGCTCCTCACTCTGTCATTTTCAGGCGATCGCAAACATGGATTGAGGGGGCGTGGATTAGCGACGGGTCCCGTTTCCATGGGAAATCGCGGATTGCCGCCGCCGGGCAAAGTGGCACCGCCCGCATTTTGGGGAGGGCATCTTCCCCGATCCATGGATTTGGTGACCGCGCGCCAAATCCATGGATCGCTAATCCATGTTTGCGCGCCCCTGACGGGCGGAGAGCGGGATAGAAGAAATTGTCCAGCCGCCTTGGGGCAGGCGCCCCTGGTGGCGGAACAGCTTGTTGCTTGTGCCGTTTATCGCCCGCTGGGTCACCGGGGGAGGAGGGAGGAAGAAAACTAACTTTCCAGCCGCCTTGGGACAGGCGCCCCCGGTGGCGGAACAGTTTGTTGTTTGTACCCGTTCTCCGCCCGCTGAGTCATCGGGGGAGGAGAGGCAGGAGGACGACTAACTTTCCAGCCGCCTTGGGACAGGTTCCCCCGATGGCGGAACAACTTTTTTGTCTGTGCCTTTCTTCGCCCGCTGAGTCATCGGGGGAGGTGGAGGAGGAGGAGGAGGAGGAGGAGGAGGAGGAGGAGGAAGAGGAAGAGGAGGAGGAGGAGGAGGAGGAGGAGGAGGAGGAGGAGATGGAGCAGGACCACTCACAGGCCGGGCGCAGTCAGAGGCAGCGATCCGCCCCTCGAGAGGCGCCACGTCACACCAGGGGCGCGCAGTCCGCATTTGCGGGGGGGGGGCTCTTGCCGCCCCGTCGCGCCCAGCTGGGCGGGGAGTGCCACAGGGCTCGCTTGGGATACGGGCGAGGCGGACAGAGGCGAGGCGCCTCGCGTAACCCCACCGGCGCCCTGTGCCCTCGGGGCGCTTCAAGCTCTTCTTGTTCGGCAAGGGTGGCTCCGCCCCTGGTCTTGGTGCTCTGCGTCTTCGGCACGCTCCTCCGGCAGTTGCTCGCAGGCCGGGTGGTACTGCTGTGCTTCCCCTCCGCCCGCCGCCGCTCGCCTCACAGTTTTCTCTTTGCTGCGGAGCACGGCCCGCCCTGGCACGCTCGGCGTTCCTCGCGCGCCCGCGAACCAAAAAGGAACCCCACCAGCCCATCCAGAAAAGAAGCCCAGACGAGTCGCCCTGATCAGGGATGTGGGGCACAATGCAGTGGAGTAGAGGGCTGGGTAAGACGTCGTGCCCCAAGAGGGGGAGGATGGAGGAGGAGCAGGAGGAGCAGGAGGAGCAGGAGGAGGAGGAGGAGAAGGAGGAGGAAGAGGAGGAGGGAGAGGGACGGGGAGGAGGGATGAGGAAGGAGGAGGAATCGGCAGATAAGGAAAAGGAAAGAGGAACATACTGATGAAGCTGCTGATGATGATGCCGACGCTGCTGCTGATGATGATGATGGTGATGATGCTGCTGGTGCTGATACTGCTCTTGATGGTGCAGATGAGGATTATGATGATGCTGATGACGGTGGTGCTGATGCTGATGCGGATGATAATGAGGATGCTGTGGATGATGCTGGTGATGATGATGATGAGGATGATGATGCGGATGATGAGGATGCTGATGATGATGATGGTGATGATGATGGTGATGATGAT